CAGAACCAGGCCCGAATAACTGAAGAACAGTACTGATGGCTGACTCACCTCGTAGCCTTTCAACGAAGGACCCACGAGGACCACCGGCCGCATTGAAGGGACCACATCGTACGGGGGAACATGTTCAGTCTGCACAGGCAACAAGCAGACAGTGTGGAAGTCATGAAAACGAAGATATGTGGAAGTTACAGTAACACACAATCACAGAGATCGATTTTAAAGTTATAAAAATGTAATAAAAACATTTAAATTCAATAATCGGAGCAGAGTGATACACAGATGAATACCCCAACATACCTGTTTCTGCTTCTGTTTGGCTTTGAAAACAAACAGAATGAACATTGAGCAAAGAGGCGAAAAGCTAAGTGGGTTCTTGCAATTAGTGATGAGCAGGGGCGTGTCCAGTGTTTGTGAAAGTGGAGTGGAGGGGCTTATGATTCCACTTAGCAAAATTGCAAGTTACTAACTGGGCTAACAAGAGTAAAGCATTTTTAAACTATAAAGACTAAACAGAAATGAGTAACCTCACTCTGGAAATAAACTGAAAATAATAAAACAATTTTTAAAAAAAGAACAATAACAATCTGGGCTTTTTTTTTTTGCATTCGCTCGAGTTTTTCTTCACAATCGCACTGTTTTATTAACTGTGTGTTATTCAGGAAGCTCTGATCCAAATCCAGCAGTGATCAAGTAACTTTTGAACTTCAGTTTGATTTAAAGTAAAACACTATAGTAAAAAGATTTTTGTAAACACGTGTTTTCCCTGAAGGTCACATTTTTGCCCAGAAATAGTCCCTGTACGCAAATCTGACTCAGTAGCAGCTTGAAGGCCTGACAGACAGACATGACAGCAGGACTCCTTCAGTCTCTCTCACCTGCAGATGGAGGGGTGGACCTCCAGCCTCCGGATGACGCGTTCCCTCCTTTCCTGTGGAGCAACATAATGCAAAGCTTCATTATGCGTGGATCCCCTAAGGAGGCAATTTAGAAAGAAGGACCTCCAAACCACAGCAACATATGAGCAGAAGTAATAAAATAACTTTGCAAAGAGTGTGCTGCAGAGGAAGCTGCTAAAATTAGGACAACAGTGTCAGAAAAACAGAGAGATCTCTGCGTAATCTCTGACCTAGCTGCTGCTTTCTGCTCTTGTTTTATCCTCATGGCCTCAAGTTTGACTGGACTGGGGATGAAAGTGATGTCTGCCCCTTCCTTCACCAGCCGACCAATCCACCAGTCATTGTTGTATTTCTGTGCAACAATGAAAGACACCTCTTATGATGCAAGATGCGTTAACATTAATCAGACTAAATATTTATTGTTACTTTATTTGTAAACCGTGTAAAAATGCAGGATTGTAATGGCTCTCACCTCTTTTATGTGCAGAAAGTCTTTGGTTTCAAAGTTAATTGCAGCACCTTGAACTGGACAATCTTCATCAAGGGCCCCGCAGTAACTCACATTGGTTCTCACTGCAAATGCTACTGATTTAGCCTGTGGACGACAAAACCCCCAAAACAAATAAGATCTGTGGCAATATATCGAATGACCTTTTCTTTAATATTCAGCAAAATTTGTATCTGAAGATTAGTTTTAGTTCTGTAGACCCTTCCACACATAAAGACTAAAGTGGTCGACTGGAACGCAAGCTTGAATCAGGACTTTATTACTGCACCTCTGGAGGTAGAGGTGATTTTAAAGCAGCGTCCCCAACCCCCGGGCCTCGGACCGGTACCGGGCCGTGAGTTGTTTGGTACCGGGCCGCGAGAGTAGAGGCTCAGGTGTGAAATGTATAGTTTTCAGGGTTTTTATCGGTTTTCAGCGTTATTTTGTTATCGTTTTTATCGTTAACTCGGTTTTCCTGGGTCTTTTCACGTGTGTTATGAATAAATCTTCTTTTTTTCGGTACTGGTACTAGTTTTATTTTGTTGTATTTATCCGCGACACCTTAAAGGCCGGTCCATGAAAATATTGTAAGGCATAAACCGGTCCGTGGCGCAAAAAAGGTTGGGGACCGCTGTTTTAAAGCCAATAATTGACCTTTGACCTTGAGGCTCTCACCTTGGCTCTCTCCAGCTGCAGCTGAGCCTGGCGCTCGGCTTCACGCCGAGACGCCTCCTGGTCCTCCTCCAGGGACAGGTCGGAATCAGAGGGTCGACTAGTGTAGGAATCGGCTGAACCCTGAGTGAACGAGGAAAGGAAAGAAACAAGTCTTAAAGCAGGTGGCGAAGACATAAATCAGCCCAATAAGGTACCTGGAAGCAGCTGTTCAGAATTCCTCACGGCATAGAAAACAGACTTAGCTCATATGTTGCGGATTCAGCTACAGATAGATCATCCTCTACACATTGACCTCCGTACTTCCCTTTTCTTTCCTTCCTATTCACCTGTTTCTGCACCTGGGTGTCTTCTTCTGCAGCTTTCCAAAGCATGTCACCCAGGGGAATACGAACACGAGTTCTGCAACACTAACAAGCAACACGACCTTGCTGTCTATTTATTCACTCAGACTGGCACACCATGCATTGGCAAAAGTCCAATTTTCAACCAAGAATACAAACACAAGCATTTTAATAACACATGCTGCAATATCCAGACTTATATCCAATCTCTGGATATGATTTATAATGAAACAACAACAACAACAACAACATAGAACTATTACCACTGGTACTGCTTTACAATTTAAAATCATACTGACAGTACTGTAAGTCTTGAATACAACACAGCTTTTTCAACACAGAAATAGAAACCAGGAGAATAAACCAGCTGTACTCCACAGAACCATCCAAGGTATACGCTCAGAGGCAGGGGAACAATATGAGAACCACACTACCAAACCTGGAAATGGAGCAATACTGGAAGAGCATACGGGCGAAGGACGCAACCCACAACGTCAATGCTCAGTGGCTAGTGGATCTAAAGTGGCAGCACAAACGAACAGGCTGCTAATGGATGAAACACACCCAGAATTGTTAACTGAAAGCCAGACAGTCCTGATCTCCAAGGACCCCCAGAAGGGAGCGGTCCCATCCAACTACCAGCCAATAAGCTGCCTTAGTACCGCTTGAAAGCTCCTGTCAGGCTTCATAGTGACTAAGATGAACAGGCACGTGGGTCAATACATGAGCAGGGGCACAGAAATGAATTGGCAGGAATAACAGACGAAGAGGCTGCTAGGAAAGCTGCAACCACTAAGTATCTGCAGAGGGTCAGGCAAGTCCTGAGAATCAGCTGAACGGTAGAACAAGATCCAGGCTATCAACACCTACGCCTGTGATCAGGTACCCTGCTGCTGTTATAATAAGGAGGAAATAGAAGCCAGTGACATCAAGACGAGAAAGCGCCTAAACATGCATGGAGGGTTTTACCACAAGTCCAGCACCCTGAGACTGTGTGCTAAGCGGAACGAAGGAGGCCGGGGACTGGTGAGTGTCAGTACCACAGTTCAGGATAAGGCAGCGAACATCCACAAATACATCAGGAAGATGTGCTCAGTGAATACCTCAGGGAGCAGAAATGCACCAAACAGGAGCAAGAGGAGGAACCATCATGGAAGGACAGGCCCCTGCACAGCACGTACCACCAGCAGATAAAGGAAGTGACTGACATCCAGAAGTCCTACCAGTGGCTGGACAAAGCTGGACTGAAAGATAGCACAGAAGCACTAATCATGGCAGCACAAGAACAAGCTCTGAGCACAAGATCCAGAGGCTGGGGTCTATCACACCAGGCTGTGTAAAGATGCCTCCTGAGATAATCCAGCACATAACAGCAGGATGTAAGATGCTAGCAGGCAGGGCATACATGGAACACCATAACCGAGTGGCCGACATAGTGTACAGAAACATCTGCACCGAATATGGCCTGGAAGTCCCTAGGTCAAAATGGGAGACGCCCACTAGGGTTGTGGAGAACGGCCGAGCTAAGGTCCTGTGGGACTTCCAGACACAGACGGAGAAAAGTGATGACAGCAACATCAGGAAGAAGAAACACGAGAATCTAGAGAAGTACCAAGGGCTCAGAGAAGAGCTTGAGAAGATGTGGAGGGTGAAGGTAACAGTGGTCCTACTGGTAATCGGAGCAATTTGTGCAGTGACCCCTCCCAAGCTAGGCGAGTGGCTCCAGCAGATCCCAAGAACAACATCTGAGATCTCTGTTCAGAAGAGCGCAGTCCTAGCAAACAGCAAACGGCAACTGTGCAGGACCCTCAAGCTTCCAAGCCTCTAGTAGAGAACCCAAGCTTGAAGGATAGATCGCAGGGGAGATAGGGGAATTTTTATGTATATATATTTTAAAAAGTGCTTAAATGTCAATCATTTCTCAAGAACATCAATTCTTGAAATGCCACAGTTTAATCATTAAAAATGAATTAGTAAATCCAGCACAGACAGATACAGATGTAAATAAAGCTCAGAAGGCTCACTCCATAAACTCCACACTCATCCTGTAAAAGCTGTTAAAATGTTCTGTGTAGATTTCATGATGTAGATGACTGATTTATAATAAGTTACATAATTTCATGAATATATATAGTTTGTGTTGAAATGTCTTTATTGAAATGTACAAGTGTAAAGTGTAAGAGCTAGTGTCTCGTGAGAATACCCTTGACGAGAGTACACGAGACTTTTCATGGACTGCGAGGGAGCAGATGTCTCTCATGAAGCGATTTTAAGCTAAAAGTTTACTAAAAGAAAAAGCAACTCAAGGACTTAAGGACCTCTTTTCAGGACAAGCAGCCAACGAGGTATTTGTCATTTGAGAAATGTTTTTATTTGTGTTTGGACTTAATATGTGTACTGTAAAGTTGCTAATTGGTTTGTACTGTTCACTCGTGGCGAATTGGCATAATGGTGATGGTGAAGCTGAGGAGAGAAGGCCCAATAATAAACGCCCGTTTCAAAGAACCGACCTGTGTCTGTGTTGTCGTGAAGAGAGCTACACATCCTTTCACTCCAAGCCTGCTCTTCCCTGGTGGCTGCAGTCCCAGCTGCAGCTGGATGTAAGGCTGGAAGACTCCTCATATACCAAACAGGAGGATCCACATAAGACAGCTAAATATAGCTCCAGAACAACGTCATCCTTCATTTACCTTTTGTCTCCCACCTGCCTCATCCCTCTTTCCACCTCTGTCCCCCCTCACCCAGCCCAGAAAAAAACAAACAGAAAAATATTTTAGCTGAATCCAGCACAGAGTTTTGTGGATATCATTTGAATATCAAAGCCTGACAGAAGCCGAACAGAATTTGAAGCGTCTGCCAGCACCAGAAACAAAACCTAATTAAAGTCCATAAAATTCTACAGATAGGACGGGAGGATATTTATTCTAAAGTTCAAACAGAGTCTCATTAGCACACACACACACACTAACTGTACTGTTGTTGTCTAATTTGACTGCTTTGATTTGCTGAAGATGGGCTGCACAACAGTCATTTTCTCTTTGTCACTGTCCAGGTCTTTGCATAGACATCATATCAACTGTCTGCTGTCCAGGCATTTTCTTTTGCGTCACACATAATAAATATACATGGCAGAAGTTGAGAATCTCACATTAAACCTATCTTTTAATAGTATGGGGGAGCCTCTGGGGTGTTTTGCTTCTGTCTTTCTAACTACTTCTCATTCTCTTTCTTCCTCAGTGCCTTCCAACTATTCATATGTACCCAATTAGTATGTAGAGAATCGTCTACACAGCCTCAAAGGCAAGTGTGATACATCCCATGGTGCAGTGCCAATAAAAGCCAGTCACAGAAGAATTTCACAGACTTTTGCCTCTATTGCAATTCTATCAGTGAAGAAATGAGAAAGCTGGAACTTTGGAAATAAGCTTTTGCCAGCCGTTATGGGAACAGATGCTGATATGCATGTACCAATTCCAACTCATCAGTATGGGTAAGCATATTAAAGGGCATGAGTAAAAAAAAACCTTTACATTTTAAGCTTTAGTGTCAATGTGACAGCATAATGGCTTTGTTGCTTCATAGCTGGATGCTAGTTTAATGTGCAGTGTACAGACTTACACCTGGATTCCAGTCCTTCTGCTCCTAATACTCTAGATGGGTTAAATGCAGATAATGAATCTTGATCCTAATTTTTAAATAAACTGTTAAGTGATCTAATGTATGACACAGCCATGGTTGTAATCCCTCATATTTATGCATCCTTCAATCCATATTTCTAACAAACCGAATATATTGCAAGATCAGAAAAAAATCATGAATATATTTCACTACTTATTCCATGCTCTGACAAACTCTGTCTCAGTGTAAAAGAATAAATAAATAAATAAATCCTTGTTTGCACAAAAATAGGACCAAGAGTGGAATCTAACACAATCACAGACACACAGGTCAGTCTCAGTGTTGAAACAGCTTTACTGCACCATGCAAACTCACACCTGACCGGACCCTTAAAAAGACAGACCTGCTCACAGAGCAGTGACAGTTATCGGCAAAGGGTGTCGAGAGAAATCCCCCAGATGTTACGGACTGGAACGTGTGATAATGACACAGCAGCAGTTGTAGATTCCTGCCAGCAGAGGGAAGCATGCACATGACAAAACAAGTTTCCTTGCTCATGAACCAGCTGTTAGAGCCACGGTTTGCTCTTTTTATACTTAGCCACCATGCCTGAAGTAGACTGAACAATATTATGGCAGTCTGTGCAAAATAAGATACATATTTATGCAGATGTATAAATACACATTATTCCATTAATTGTTCAGTATATATTTCAGAAATTATACCTCAGTCTTTTATTTTTGAATTCCACAGTGAAGTGTTGAAGCTGCTGCTGCATTTTTACAACAATGTCATGAAACATTATTGTAGACAACAGGGAAAACAGACCCACAAACGGGTCTGGGGTGTAATATTTATTGGTATGAATGACCTTATAAACAGACAAGCCATAAATAAATGGGTCATAAGTCATATTATTCATCAGACAGGCCACCCACTGAACTACTAGTTAAAAGCACCACTGCAAAGTAATGGAGTTGAGATAAACAGACAGACTGTGTCTTTTCAGTTCAGCGTGTGTGAAGAAGAAAAGAGGGAGGGAGGGACGAGAGGACAAGTAGGGGCTATGCTGGAAAAGTGAATGAAGTGAACAGACTTCTGCTGAGAAAAGAGTGAGAGGGTTGGGGAGAAGAAGAAGAGGGAAAAGCAGAATGAAGACGCCTGTGAGCAGAGCGATGGAGGACTCGTAGATGAAGAGGCTGGAATCGCATGCAGAGTGGTTAAATAAGGGGGAGGGTTAACAGCGTACCTTGTTGCAGATGAGTCCTGTAGCGCTCGAGTCGGAGGCAGACATGATGCTCCTGCCAGCGCTTTCTTCCCCCCATTGCAATGAAAAAGCGGAACCCTCCTCCCCTCAGCCCGTGGTAACAGTGGGGAGAGAGGGAGGTGCGCTCTGCCTAAGTGCTTCACAACCACTGCTGCGCTGCCTCAACAGTCATTTCCTATACAAAATTGATGCCCTGACTGCAGCACTGTTGTGTACACACCCGCATGCTGGTATTGTGTAGTTTCTTGCTTTAGCTGCCAGTCAGACTTCATGTAATAAATTTAAATAAAAAGATCTTTTCTCTGCTCAGCTTTGCTCTCCCTTGGGTTGCCCTGCTCTGCCACAAATCTCATGCAGCCCTCTCCAGCATCATATTCACAACCCTTTCAGGTTTTTCCATACCTCCCTCTTATGTAAGTTCAGATATTAAGAGATCCTGAAAAAGATACACACATATATCTATATAAAATCAACAGCTATATTGCCGGAGTGGTGTTTACTCTCACTGTGCAGCGTATAATTTTTTACTGGGCACAGGGAGAACTTCTAAAAATAAAGCAGAACAAAGGATAAGCTTGTAAGCCTCGATAAGTAAAAATAACAATGGCCAAGCAAAGGAAAGCTTAAAAATAGCCTCTGATTGTCATTCCTCTGCCAATTGGTATCTTCCCTTATTGCACAGGAAAAGCAAAATGAATAAAACTCAGAAATGCAGAGGATGTAAAGCCGTTGATGAAAGAGAGGCGGACATGTGGATGCAGAAACAGGAAGAGAAAGGCGAGAGGGGCGAGTAGGGTAGGGCTTGCCTGCTTGCCCTGCCCTGCACCATCCTCCTGACAGGAAGGTGATGCATGAGTCTACAAAACAGAATTGCATCGGTGAGTCAGCAAGCAGCCATCTAGAGTCCATCAGATGTCTTAATAAGCCAGAAAGAGATGTCTCCGTTGCAGAAGAAAGTCTCGTTCCTGGCGAGCCAGGCCTGGATGCCTGCTCTATACGTCGCCCCAGGCACCGAAGACCCTGATTTGGGGTCCATTGTGCTGGCAGCATGCATGCTCTCTCACCCTCAATGAACTTTCGCTGCTTAAGAATGAAGAAAGTGCACTCTGCCAAGGCTTTTAGGAAAAAAATGCCCTGGGGCTATATTTCTGTGTGGCTTTTTACAAGCAGGGAAGCATATACCATATTAACACACACATGCACACACATAGAGACACACACATTATTAAAGTTATTGCAATAACTCTCCGATCCCTCAGCAGAGAAGATATGGTAGCTATATTTCCATCATTAGGGCTGTGGGTAAAACAGCCTCTGAGTAATGGCACCATACAATCATAAAGGGAGAGAGAGTTAGAAGGAAAAGAGGGCTAGAAACAAGCAAAGGCTAATATGAACTACATCGCAACAGAAAGAGAACTTAAACATGCGAGTTTTCAATACATGTCAAATCATTAGTCTGCTTCGCTACTGTTGATTCTTAGAGCTCTATATTTTCAA